AACAGCACCCCTAAAAAAAAAAAAAAAAAAAAATACAGAAATGCATCATAAACTGTTATGTCACAGGACGTGGAGTGGAGATAGATAAGCAGAAAGAATTAGGATATTTTATACCTTGGCACCCATGACAGCGACCTCGGCCGTGGGCCAGGCGTAATTCACATCTCCTCTCAGATGTTTGGAGCTCATCACATCATAAGCTCCTCCATAAGCCTGGGATACACACACACACATATATATATAGATATATATATATACACACTGAGTCTTAGATTTGTGTGTATAGTGTTTATTCCTGATCTAAAATACACATATTTACAATGGCTTTGATTGTAGAGTGACTGTTAGTCACTTAGCTTGATTTAACTCCTGTCAGATTTAGTTCAGAAGTTGGTCTAATTCTACACAGAAATAATCTCACCACATTTTGGCCATTTGATCAGTTTTATTTAACTGAGGAGCTCCATGTGCTCATTGCAGTCTGGAAAACCTCCAACACCGTGGTTTTGTTACGAGTTGTGTTAAGCTAACATTGAGCCGAGAGCTCCACCAGTTCATATCTTAAAAGCCCCGACCTATATTTCATTATTACAATTCTTCTCCCATCCATTGACTCTCGCACCTTCCTAGTGATGATGGTTATTTTGGGGACGGTGGCCTCTGCAAAAGCAAACAGCAGTTTGGCTCCGTGTTTGATGATGCCTCCATACTCCTGAGCAGTACCTGTTAGTGACATCACAGCAGTTAAATGGTGGGAGTGTGCACTGTCAGACAGTAGCTACAGATGCATGTCATGTAACACAATGTGTACTCAGTAGGTCACAGTATACAGATTTATGAATATGTCCTTATTGAAACTTTTAGTGGACCATGTATTTACTATTAGTATATGTACTGTAGGAACTTCTTCTATTTCCCTGAGCAGGCAGCTAATTCATGTCCTACTTTTTGTGCAGGTGGACCCTTCTGTCTGTGGACAACACACCCCATTTAGACAAAAACATTCTGCTGACTGTTTTATTCACAGCAGCAGAGATGCTCTGCCATGCTCTAACCTGAGCTCAGAGCTCAGTACCCTAACCTGATTAAGATGTAAGATAGCGTATGGCCAGTAGCTGGATTACTCTGTGTGTAAATGCCAGTGTATTATGGGTTGTGAGATTTTGAAGAATACCTGGCAGGAAGCCCGGCACATCCACAAATGTGATGATGGGAATGTTGAAAGCATCACAGAAGCGTACAAAGCGGGCTCCCTTCACTGAGGAGTTGATGTCCAAACAACCTGATGCACAAGACAGAAATGAAGCAATGTTAAAAAAAAAAAAAAAAGATCAATCTGCTAAATATAACTTTGTGCCCGATTTATTTTCAACCACCATGTTCTTTCTGGGACCTAAATTAAAAAAGGAAAAGACAACAGAAAATATTGTAAACAATGTAATTAATCTGATTAATACAATTTCAATTGATGATTTATTTATGCCTTGTGTCTGTCCCTCTTACTTTCAGCCCTTCAGTTTTCTTTACGCACCAGAAGCCACTTTGGGCTGGTTTCCCACAATCCCCACAGTGCGTCCATTCATACGGGCAAATCCCACCACAATGTTCTTGGCATAGTTGGGCATGATCTCAAAGAAGTCCCTCTCATCCACTGTCTGAACGGATGTGTGAAGAAAAAACATTTACTGACAGATATAGTTGTACATCTTACAATGTGAGAAAGCGGTTTACGTACTGCTTGAATGATGTCCAACATGTCATAGGCTTTGGTAGACTCCAATGGGACGATGTTGTCCAATGAAAGTACCAGACGATCGCTGAAGAAAGGACAAGTGATCAGACATGATGAGATTCTCCCATTAAGAACAGGTGACTGTTCTGTAAAGTGGAGGCAAAGGTGACTGGTTACCTGGGGTCGTGGCACTCCCTCATGGGCGCCGGATCTTTATTGCTGAGCGGCAGGAAGTTGAAGAACTCTCGCAGGTTGAGTAGGGCCTCAACGTCATTCTCAAATGCATGGTGAGCAACACCTGACAACAAGACATGACACATTTTATACCCTGCGGACAGTATTTTTAAACAGCAACCTCAGATGAGCTACTGAGAGATTGGCATGTTGTGACCAGTAATGCTGGCCCACTGGGATGTAACTATGACAGAGCCGGTGGCATTTACACCCACACAGCAACAGCACGCTGAGAGTTTGGATGTTGAGATATAACATTTAAACTAACCAGACACGCTGGTGTGTGTTTTGGCTCCACCGAGCTCCTCCTGAGTCACATCTTCATTGGTAACAGACTTCACAACATCAGGTCCTGTGATGAACAGGTATGATGTGTCCTAGACATACAAAACACACACATGCACACTGGCAACACGCAAACATTTTGGTTGTCTTCTGCAGCCGAAATTAAATGTTGTTTACTAAATGAAAAAAAGCTAAACTACTGGTGTTCAGTGTGTGTATACCTTAACCATGAAGGTGAAATCTGTCAGGGCAGGGGAGTAGACGGCCCCTCCTGCGCAGGGACCCATGATGAGGGAGATCTGAGGGATAACTCCTGAAGCCAACACATTCCTCTGAAAAAAAAAAAAGTTAAATGTTTTACTTTATTAGTGATAGTGTCAAACCTCCCTAAAGTTAAAGCCACATGTATTTCAGGATGTTAACACTGGGGAGCACGTTCAAGTGTAAGTTGCCTATAGTTCCACCAGTAAATCACTGAGTATAGACTCAGTTCTTGAAGCTTGATGTAGTATGATGAGAATTACATGCAAAGACTTTACAACATAACCACACCAGGAATATATCTGCATATCCAGCCAGAGATTCTACTCCTTCCTGGATCCGAGCTCCTCCAGAGTCATTCAGCCCAATGACTGGGGCTCCAACTGTCATGGCCTGGTCCATAATCTGAACACAGAACATTTACGACTGGTACATAAAAAAAAATACTTGAAAAGCCTGAGATTAAACAAGAACCACTGACAAAATACAAATATGCCAACAAATATTAACATATTCTCAGTGTCCAAGGAACATTTACTTAATTTTTAACACCGCTGTTTCAGCATGTTTCCATTTTGTCCAACTAACATGCATGGTTTGTACACACAGACATATGACTACACACTTTAGTATCTGAGTGATGTTATAAAATATGAAAAAGTGACAATGTTCCTGGTGCTTTCACTGACCTTACAGATCTTCTGTGCATGAGCTCCAGAAAGACTGCCGCCAAATACAGTGAAGTCCTGAGAGAGACAAAAGGACGAGTGAAGAAGAGTTGCTGTGCATCTCAAAGATGTTTGCTTTCCTACAAAATAATTATGTATGTGTGGTACCTGACTAAATACATAGACCAGTCGGCCATTGATCCTGCCTCGGCCTGTCACCACACTGTCACCCGGGAACTGACAAAAATAAAAAGATTTGGTAACAGCAAAATTTCAAACCCAAGAGAAATGAACCGTTACTATTTTAAATGGATAAAAACACGAACTGTCTTGTTACCTTGTTTCTGTCCTGTTCCATGCCAAAGTCGGCACAACGATGCTCCACAAACATGTCCGCCTCCACGAAGGACTGAGGGTCCAGCAGTAGCTCCAGTCGCTCTCTGGCTGTCAGCTTACCCTGCAGTACATAATACCAAAAGTTACTACACTTTTGACAGGTAGAGAATTGTAGAAATTTTGCCCACTCCTTATTTTCAGGCAAAATGGCCACCCACAGATTTTACCAAGCAAAACAGAATAACATCTGATCTGACACTGTAGTAGTACTAATAATCCTCTACAGTAATAACAGTCAACTTTATTTGGCCAAGTATGTTACACACAAGGAATTTGTTTCCAGTACAGAAACAAGGCAGCCATCTGCGGCACCAGCTTACTGATGGCTCTAACCATCAGGGGCAACTTTAGGGTTCAGTGTCTTGCCCAAGGACACTTCAACATGTGGGCTGCAGGCACCGTGATTCGAACCTCCAACCTTCCAGTTGGGAGACGACTGCTCTACCCACTGAACCACTGTCGCACCAAAAAAGTAACGTAAAAGTAAGTTCTAAACATGAATATTCACGTCAAATTGTTTAAATAATATACATTACACTGTGTTATAACATTGGAAGGGTCATTTTCAAATCTGGAGCCTGAGACTGGCAGAGTCTCTACGTTCAAGGGCAGCAACCACTGACCTGGAGCCTTTGAGCAAGGCATTAACTCAACTAGCCCTGCTGTCAGTGTAATGTACTTAAGACAAATGCTGAAGTTACTGCACACTAACATTAACAGAAACTAAGGTGATATTAGTTGACTTTACCCTTTTGTGTTGTGCATCAATTCTATTCTGACCTCCCCCAGCTAGCGCCGCCTTCCGTTTCTTGTCAATTCTCTCCTGAACGGATAGGTGGCTGACCGAGTACCAGCGGCAGTCCTTTTGCAGGCCCGTGTGCGGTATTGAAGTAGCAGTCACTGCGCCATGTTTCATTTGCGTCAAACTCCTGAAAGATATCCGCAAACCATTTAGCAGCCCACAACTGCCTCGAGCCACACTGAAGGACGCCATCATTGCTGTTCGTGTTTCCGGATGACAAAGAAATTTGAACCAATAGCAAATGAGGGGCGAAATCTCAAACCCAATCAGAAATAAGGAATTCGTAGCTATAGCTGATGGGTGGGATCTGAAGGGGATCGGGTTTTCTTTTACCCATGAATGTGACCTGTAATACAAAAGTGAAGTTATGGACCTTTTAAACCCTGAGTCTATCTTGCCAAGTGGATATTCCCGTCAACTTGTCCCCTGTCTTAATGACTGACGATGCAGTTATAGGCCCCAAACATTACCCTAAACATTAGTGATGTACACAGAGATACAACATTAGATTTCATGAATCTTTTGAATTAAAGGTTTCCTAACAGTTTTTTTTATCACAGGAAAAAATGCAGGAGTCCCAAATGCAATATTTCAATTTCAAGCATTACATTTATTAAGCGATATGTCTTACTTAATAATATGATGTGCCGTATGATGTACAGAAAAAGAAATTGAATTTTTTAAATAACTGAATGGGAGCACAGAGAGGTACTGTGTACAGAATGTAACCCAGGGTAACTACGGGAAGTCTCGCGTGATTTCCATGCCTGTTGAGAAGGGTTGATGCGAGGAAAAGTGGAAAATCGAATGATTGATGCATTTGTTAAACGGATAGTTAACTATGTTGCGGTCACCGTTCGCAAGGTATTATACCAAACCCTATCAAAATAGCAGGATTTCATTTTACAGCTTGCATTTTGCTCTTGTGCATAAGGCATAAAACGGCCCGAGTGTTAAGTGATACGGTTCAATTTTCGCTGGCTAATTTGGCTAGCTTAACGATAGCTGGTTAGCTTTGTTTACATCGAGTGCGCGCCTGGGATCTGTTAGCTAATTGCTCACAAAACAAATTTGTGATCTTAGCAGGGGCTTATCGATCATATCGACATCGACTACTAGACGGTATCTGATATTAAATGGGCTCCACGGCTAACATCGAACATCTCTCGTGTAACGTTTGGCTGGTGTCGTAACCTAACGCTAGCTATACAATGCTAACCTTTTGATCATGGATCGTGGGATCATTTGATTCACTGCTGGCTGTTGAACAGCGTTAGGGATAATGTAAATAATTATAACCTATAGTATAATTGGTCCGAATTAACAGAAACTTTAACTGATCTGAAACATATGGTTGGTGAGTAACAACGACTAATAACCGGTTATGCTAACTTTAGCTAGTCACCTGCCGAGCTAACGTTCTGCGCGCTTAGTGATAACCGCTTTACCATGTTCGTTGTCTGTTATTGTGTCTATTATTAATGCATATGTGTTCATCGAAACACTGGAGCGACTGATTATTGCTCCGCCAGGTCATTTCATCTTTCCTCCATCCACCCTGAGACTTGGCTATCTATAGCTCCGTTGCTGCGAGTGCCTGGACATTTTTCCGGGCCGTGTTTTCCTGAGGCTTCGGAGTACACCGCTATGAACCCCGTTAATGCAACTGCTCTGTACGTGTCCGCCAGCCGGGCCGTGCTGAAGTGTGACCCGCGGCAGCCTCACACCTTCACTGAGATGTACAGCCTCCTGCACTTCTTCAGAGAGTCCCTCGCATGCCGTGTCTGTGGTAAGCATCCTGCAAATATTGTATAATAGCAAAGCATGCCACTCGCTCTCTTGTTGTTTTGTCACCATCGGTTTCGTACCGCACATTACTTAAACGTCACTGAAATGCATGAGTGTTTAATAACCTTACTTTTCATTTAGACTTAAGTATTGATGGGCGTACGTGTGCTGGCAAGGGTTTACACAATTTCTCGTGCTCATCACCGTGGTCTCCTTAGCAACCGAGACTGAGCCCGTCTTCTGTGCTCTTGTCAAGACAGATGATGACTCTGTTGTTGTGCCTGCTCCAGGGCCATGTGTTTCCTATTTATGCTTTATTTACTCACTCCACTTAGCTACAGGAATATCAACACTGTCACAAGAGCTTGCATGTAGAGATGGACAATATTGACAGGATGACATGTGACAATATTTCTCACCGGTCCTATTATGTAGTGGTTTGGCGTGTCATTTGTGCAGTCATGCAGTATTTAATCACATTTACAGGATGGGTGAGGCAAGCAGTAAAATCAGTAATGTGAACATAATGATAAAGCAGGTTGAATCCTTTGTTTATTGGAATAAACTGGGATAAATAAGAAAATAAAGAAGTTCAGGAAACAGACATTTATGGTATAGACCCAAAGAAAATTTCAAGGCACAGATTATTATATTGGTATTACATTTGATTTCCCTGTTTGAAATGCATCATGTGTTACATGGAACTGATTTAGTGTCTGTTTTGAAAAGTGATTGCTGCCCTGTTTTGTGTAATTGTAAACGGAATATGTTTGGGTTTTGGACTGTTGGTCAGGAAAAAAACAAGACATTTGATGGCACCTTTCATTGTTCTAAAATTCTTTATTTAAGAAATAATAGCTCAATTGATAGTTCCAGCTGTTTCCATAGAAGCATTGGGTTGAATGAGAGTTTAGTCCAACCAGCTGAATGTGCCATAGTTGCTGTATGTAAGTGCAACAATGATACAGTGCATTAACAGCTTCCTGTTGTTTTTTTGTCTCAGGTAAACTACTGCAGGATCCCATTTCCCCAACACATCCAGAGTGTCAGCATTATGTCTGTTTGGGCTGTAAAGGCCAGAAAATGCAGATCAGACCATCATGCAGCCGATGTAAGGACTATTCCTGCTTCCAGGAGAACAAACAGCTCTCTCTGCTGGTTCAGTGTTACAGGAAGCTGTGTCTGTATGTAACTCACTCACCGTTGCTGCAGTCAATCAGCAACCATGTTGGAGGGTCTCCAGAGGTTATGACCTTGCTAGAGGAGGTGCTAATGTCACATGAAGAGGAGATAGAGACTAGGAATCTAAGCCTAGCACAGGAGGATGAGAATTCTTCTGAGTCCCTTACCACCACAGAGGCACCACCTGCTCCTGCAGAGCTCTCTGCTGTACCCCAGAACTCCTCTGACCCTCCCTGTTCCAATGGGCCACAGGAATGCAACGGAGAAGTGCTGGAGGACCCGAATCCTTCTTCTCCTGAGCTCGAAGTATGTGAGCTTGTAGAGGAGCAGCCACAGGCAGGTTTGTCTCTGTCCAGTACTGGTTGTGGTGATCTAGAACTGAATCTCACCACAGGTTCTTTAGCCCCAACTCCAGGCACTGTGTGCTCACTCAGGGATGGGGAAGCTAGCAGCAGGGGACTGGAGGAGGGGGAGGTATTCCTTCTCAGCGTGGAGGAAGTGTTACAGACTTTGGATCCCCTTCGGCCTGGTCGTGATTCTCCTCACACACAGCCAGACAGGACACACACCCACATAGCCACGGACAGTGCACACGCTCACATGTACATACAGCTGGACACAGGTCACAACTACACACAGATTCAAACAAACAGGACTAACACAATGGCAAGCCATGGTGCTCACATACACTCATTCTCCTCTGATCCTCCTCCAACCCCCAAACCCCTGCCAGTCCGCCTTAACCGTAAACGATCTCATTCAGAGAGTGACAGGGAGAAGGTGAAACCCCTCCCTATCGCCTCCATCCTGCAGGACTCATCTTCTCATTCACGTACTCCAAACCGCTCTCATGCTCTTCACACGCAACCACCCACACCCTCCTTAACTATACCAGCACACACATATTCATCCCTTCACAATGGGGCGCCTCCTAAGCCCAACCGCCCTACACCTAACCACAATAAAGGTGCCAGAAAGCATGTTGATTTGGGCCCTAAGAAGCCACATGCCAAGGCCCGCAGTGGTGGAGGCTCTAAGACCAAGGACAGAAACAAAGACCCACGGTTGATGTCAGGCTGCCTGGTGCCTCCAGCACCCGTCAGGCCTCCCTATAAGAAGCCAGTGGAGAAGAAGGGCTGTAAGTGTGGAAGGGCCACCCAGAATCCCTCTGTGCTGACCTGCAGGGGGCAACGCTGTCCCTGTTACTCAAACCGCAAGGTGAGACCATGATCACATTGTGTATGGAAGTTTTTTTTAAATATGATTTTACTAATGGTAAGCTGATTTTGTCTATTAACTCAGCTCTTCAGAAATCTAATGCTTCTATTATGTGAATAGGTGTTGAGTATTTTTGTAACTCTTTCATGTAGTCTAACATTTGTTAATATAATTTAATTTTTTTTAAATATAGACCCCTGGCAGAGTATTTCTTCCTAAGACAATTAATTGAAATTCAGACCAGCTCAGTCTGTAAACAGTAACTGCCATCTGTGATTTGTAGGATCTGGAACCAGACTTAGTAATGTCACTGTACTGTATTGACAAATTCAGATTTAAATCCATACTAAAGGCAGGGTATATAAACTACATTGTAAAGAGGAGAACATGTAAAATGAAAGTAACGTTTCTTGTCTGTTTTCTGTCACCTTCCTCAGGCGTGTTTGGATTGTATCTGTCGAGGTTGTCAGAACTCCTACATGGCCAACGGCGAGAAGAAGCTCGAGGCCTTCGCCGTGCCAGAGAAAGCCTTGGAGCAGACACGGCTCACACTCGGCATCAACCTCACCAGCATTACAGCGGCTGCGGCGCTCCGCAACCCAACAACCACCAGCATCCGCGCTAACACGCTCCTCAATGTTGCCACAGCAACAGGGACCCCCGTAACCACAACCTTTCTGTCTCCCAGCTCTTCACAAGAGCCCAACTATGAGGACTGGAGCTGCTGATTGGACAAAAAGGCTGGAACTCCAAAAACAGACAGCTGAGTGCTGATTGAATGTGATGGCTGATCATTGTGTGTCTGACAACCTGTACCTCCTCCCCCCCCCAGAGGGGAGGCAACCTATGGCAGCTATGGGTCTGTCCTGTCCTGTAACCTGCTTGGAAAATGCTGAGTACTAAGACTAGCATGGGTGTGCCAAAGCCTTCTGTATTGTGCCTGTGTGCCCGTGAGTATTGTTGCCTGTTTGTAGTTAAACACTTATACTAAGTTCCACAACTGGTCTGTACTTCAGAGGTGCTTTTTGTTCACAGACATACAGTAAGAGGCAATACAAACACGCACCAGGTTTTGTTTTTCTTTAGTGTGCACCCAATTAAGTATATTTGTGTCCGCATAATGGAAACAAAAGCTGCATCAGCATATTTCACTCACTTGTCAAAGCGTTTTCCATGTTTTAGTATTATTCCGTGTATGTTTAAGAAAAGGATAATTGGTATCAGGACGGCCCTTACTAATCCTTAACTCTGTATGTGTTCACACCGTAATTGTGAATGACTCTTGTGACTAATCAGTGAAGAACTGCTCTCACACACGACTGTATGCCTTTTCTATCTCATTAACTCTCTCAACCCAAGTACTGTCAGCTGTTAATAAATTTGTCTTAATGAACTTGACTGATGCAGGCATTGTACAGGCAGCAAGGTAATGTCAAAGCACTTGGCTGGCTCCACGGTTTTTCTGTATATGTGTGTGTGTGTGTGTGTGTGTGTGTGTGTGTGCCTGCTGAGATTTACTGTAATGTCAGTGGGGAGGTGGATGGTGGGTTGTAAGCACTTAGTCTGATTGGCCAAATTACAACTTTAACCATTGGTTACCATAGCAATAGGAGCACCACAAGGAGCCCCCCCAGCTCTCGTGCGCACACGCAGTTGTTTACAGTATTGCCATTCATAGACTATAGCAGACTTTCTTCTCTAATATTACACAGTTACCTTTTAACTATGGAATTGTACATTACTCTGTGTTTTTAGATAAACTGAAGCCATAGGTTGTCATTAACACAACAAAATATCCACTGGGTGTGCGTTTTTCCTACAGTTGTAGTGTCCTGACTGGTTAGAGACCAACTCAGAGACTATTTTTGATACTAAGTGTTTGAAATTTGGTACCACTGTCTGTTTTGTGTGTGTGTGTGTGTGTGTGTGTGTGTGTGCGTGTGTGTGTGGTTTGATTAAAGCACCTTGAAGCCCTCCTATAACCCAAGAGGCTTTGTATTGTTTGTGTTTGTGTTTACTGTCTCAGCTATACCTACAACATGTTTGTCAGTCCAGTCATGGTGACCAAAAAGAGACTGAAGGGGAGAGAGGACTCAGGCAGACCAAACAAACACCTTGGTTGTCGACTCAGACCAGGGAGTAGCAGGTGGATTAAAGTATGATCAGAAAATATGATCTATCTTCCTGTGTGTGTGTGTGTGTGTGTGTGTGTGTGTATGTTTCAAAATGTGTTTCTTTTGGGCATTACTTGAACCCTGATTAGTTTATTTTGTTTGTTTTTTTTATGTAAAAACTCTTTATTTGAGGAGTGACCCTTGTTATTGCTGAAACATTCACTGCCATAATATGGAAAACAGGTAATACAACATGAATTAAATGATAGTTTTTTACTTTTTCAGTTTTGTGTCTTTTTGCGTACAGGGGATATCTGACTGAAGTGTACTTAAACTGTCACAGATGGGTTTCCATACAGTGGATCCTATGTAGATTGAGATTTGTTGTTGAGGAAGAATGTGGAAAATGGAGTGTTACTGTTTACACTGATAAATGTAATAGTTTTATACTGCACATTCATTTATTTTACATTAAACGCAGTGCTAGAGAGAAAAATCTGGAAATAACGGTCCAGTGAATGCTAGTTGTCATGCCTCACCTCCATTATCACACGTTATATAGGATTCAGTATTCACTGGCTGGGAACCACAAATATTCATGGCAGTTCGTCATAACTTGTTGAGATATTGTCATCTGTTCAGCTAACTGCTAACATGGCCATTAGGTCATGAACTTTGTGGGATAGTTTGTTCTTTCACTCTATTATTATTATTGACACATGGGAAGTATGAACCTGTTACATCTAACCTGTATAGAAACTATTTATGAATACATTTATCCAGCACTTAAAGTCATTAGAATGGTATCTACTGGATATGTAATTCTTAGTATCACAAAGAAGGAATTCAGCCATAAAAAGAGGCATTTATGTTTGATACTTATTTTTAATAATAAAAAAAAAACCTGTTAAGTGTCATGTGTCCAATACCGCTGTCAATTCCAGAGGATGACAACTTGTCTGTTGACTGTTTGACCCGCAGGCAGAACAACTCACTCGGGTCTTGAGGGCGTTCACACATGAGAGCACAACATTTAATCTGCATCTTTTGTACTGCTCCAGATGTCTTGTGCTCTGAATGCACCACATAATCCATGTCTTCTCTGTCATTCAGTACTTTCTGTTTACCAGCCTTGAAAACAGAAATACTGTGTGAAGTGATCGCTGCTGGGGTAAATACACACATCACACAGCTCTTCTTCCTTGCCACTCTTAGGTGACTGAGAGTCTGTCACTGCAGCTTGGTTTGGTCATATCCCTAAAGCTCCATGGCCCCTGAAGAAGTCCTTTGTGCTCCTCCCAGTTCATCCTTCTCCAATCCTGTATCCTCACACAGCTGCTCATATTGTCAAGCAACTTCTGTCAATGTCTACATCAAGTCATCCTAGTCTGACTCTCTCTCTAGCCCACCAGGAAGGCCCCAAAGTAGCTTGCCCTCCTGTCCATCTCCAAGGTGCTGGCATTGCTAACAGTGATGAAGATGCGATCAGCAGGCTGTAGAAAGGCAGTACCAGCTTGGTGCAAGGAGAAAAGACCGGGTTCTTGACCGCGAGGCCAGCAGACACCCCGGGACGATTTCATCAGCAGGATGGGCGCCATGTAGGAGCTCATCTGTGGACACACCCCAAATACAAGATCAACTTCCATAAGCAAAGCACCATAAGCATACAACCTATTAACATAGCATTCATTTCTGCTAACATCTGAAACGAGTTGCTTTGTTTCACAAGCATGTTCCAATTTCTTTACTAGGCTGCAAAAAGTATCACCTTCTTGTAGATGTACTGGACAAGCTGCACTCCCTCCTCCTCCTTTGTTTCCTCTCCCTTTACCTCCCCTTCTGTTTCCCCAGTGGAAGGGAGTCTGAAGTAGGTCTGGGCGTAGATATAGTAGAGGCCCGCTCTGGGCACCAGCAACTCTCCTCCCCTCAGCTCCATGCTCTGCAGGAAGGATAGACCTGTCTGGCCCTCCCATGCTCTGATTCGCTGCCCCAGGTACCCCCTGCTGCTCCGCGAGCCTGCAACAGCACATAAATAAGCAGAATCACACACAAAAAAATGTATTTGGATTCATTTTTACAGGTGTTTCTTTCTTTTCACTTGCTGGAAAATGTAATGAATGCAATGGCTTGTCCAAAAGACAACTACAGGACATGGCAGGTTATGAGAAAGCAGCTGCACAGCTGGTCCTGACAGGCAGGCAGAAAGATGACATTACTGAATTTGAAAGCAGCTGGGAAACCCCTTGAAGCACATTCCTCACTTTTTGAAAAACAAATAACTATGTATACTGGATTTCACTTATACTGCTTTAATTCTCCTCACCCTCTGCTGTAGGAGACTCAGTGGACGAGATGACACCTGTCACATGGGCTGCAACTTTAGGAAGAGGGGCCCCTCGGACTCCAGGGCTCAGGAAAGGCAGCACCCCCGTCAGCTTATCTGTGAAAACACAAGCAGATAAGAAACACGGATACACAGGACACTTCTAGTGGAAAAAGTCATACTTCCACCCATTAGTAGTAACTGACAGTCAGTGGAGATATTTTTCTTACTTCTCATAGCAGTGGATATCTCTCTCTGGAATCTGTCAGCCATCGTCTGAATGAAAAACACCCAGAGAAACAAAAAGACAAAGAGGCAAGGAAAAGAGAGTGAATTAAATGATATCTGCTCCTCCTGTAGGTGTCTTTAAATCTAAATAAACAGCATTCAGTAATTCACCAGGGACCCTGTCACTCCCTTGACTCATCCAGTCCTAATCAATGGTGTCTGAGTAACACATTTTTGAAAACACCGTGGACCAAATGTGTAATATGTTCTGTGTATATGCTGCTCACTAGTGTCTTGAATACAATTAGAAAAATAAAGAAAAAATAATCCTATTCCCAAAAACATGACAGAAAATAGCGTATTTTCTCTCACACTTAGAGATGTGTATTGACGTTGAGGTAACAAAAAATCAAACAAAACCTTCTCTATGCGGTAGTGGAGCTGTTGCGTGACTTGCCAGCAGGGGTCGCTCTTCTTTTCCTGAGCTGCTGACTCTTCCAACCCTGAGTGCAGATTCGTATTTATCAGGCAGGACACACTGCTCCTAGAGAAGCTCTCCCGCATCTGTCAAGGAAAAAATAAGTTCCAAAAAAACATGCAATGAGGTCTGAAGTGTGACCCCGGACCAATCAGAGCTCAGGACTGCATGGATTGACTTTATAAAGGGGTTTTAGGAGCTCTGACGGCTTTTCATAATGTCTGAGTGAAACATGTTGCTTGAAGCTGTCCCTCCTTCTGAACCTTAACTATTCTTCTTTCCTTAGACTGTTTGCTGTTATGTACTCACGTTAGAAGCTGATGTTCCTGCATGAAAGAAGGTAGGACTTTTATGCTTCATATATAATAAGTATCTAAAATATTATTCCTGCACAGTGGTGACATGAGGTACTTGTATGTTCCTTAATCTCATTTACTAATTCCATTGTATGCTACATTTTTGAGGCAACTGTACATTTCACACTAGCCTGCATTTAGCCTGTAAGTGATGCTTACACATGAATTCATCCATTATCCCATAAAATAATACTTTATTCTGAGACGGGCCGTTCTATATAATGTGTACTTTTGGTACTTTAAGTACATTGTGATGCTAATACTCATGTACGACTTGCATGAATGCATGGCTTACTTGTACCAGAGCATTTCTGGTATTGTTGGTTTTCCTTAAGTATTACATGTGAGTAGTTCTTCCACTGCTGTAGGTCCAAAGTGGTGCCATAACGCATATTTTAGCCCAAATGGTATAACCGCTGTTTTGTTTGTGATAGCCTCCTAAATAGTTTTAAAGTCTCGTCTTGTAAAACGGTGTCACTGGCTCAGTAACTTATCCTTTAACAACAACCCAGATTACAGTGAAAAGCGCCACTTTTCCCCAGTTAGAGTCAGTTTGATGGACTCTGTTTGTAAGATTAAGGGGGAGACAAACTCAGATCTTACCGTGTTCAGGACTTTGTTGAAGTACATAAAGCTGACAGCAACCGTGATGGTCTGGAGGAGGATCGCTGCGAGTATGATGAGTCCCAGACACTGGAGCGATATAGAAATGGCCATATCAGAAAGGCACCAAAAAGACGCACTGAAAACGCAGGCAGGACAAGTCGGATCAAGCTCCGCTGCATTTCTGCTCTGGAGGAGGAAGAGGGAGGAAGGGAAACAGCAGCATTTTGTAGGTGGAGCGCAGGAGGTATGGAGCTATACGACAGCCCCAAGATGTCACTGTTAATAACCAGAAAGCAGGGCGCTTTAACGCTGCACATGCAAGTTCAGGACGCCTTAAAGGGCTGTCAGAAATGTAGAAACTTTGTTATTTGATGATTTATCGCAGATGTAGCCCATTTGTGACTGCAATTAAACGTTTGTGATCATTTGGACATGTTGATTCTTACAGATGGCCCAGAATGTAACTCACCTATGTAGCAGATTATCTTCGTGACAACACAATCTCACCTTAATGTCCATTTAATAGCTATTTTATAGCTTTTGATTACATTTCATGATCATCTGCAGGTGGAGATTGCCTAGTTGCCATGGAGTTGTTTTTCCTGATCACTTTGGGACTTCTATCTTAAATAAATAAGCAAGTCATATTTTTCTTTTCACAGTTTTTTAAAGTATATATATATATCTCATCTTTTGACTTTTGTAGTAAAACAATGCTGAACTGTTCATTTTTTTCTGACTTCTATAATGTAAAGTCTTGTGGTTATGTGCAGGTGACAGGTGCAATAGTCTTCCCGTGTTTGAAATTTTATTCCTTTATGCATTTCAAAGTAGTCTTGTGCCATTCAAATTCCAATTTGTTTAGATATTATTTTGTACTTCAGTGTGTTAAAAGTAGTTGTTTTTTTTTATGACTTCCAGTCTCCAATTCTGGAGCACAAGGTAGCACAGGACAGGCTAACTGTGGAGAGCACAGAGGCCCAGGGACTTTATTATATGTGGTTTATTGACTGTGTGATGACTTGTATATGACAGTCAGAACCAGACGTAGAAGCTTGACTAAAGTACATCACTGTATGAAAGTTTCAGTACAGGGCACATAACAGTTATCAGCATCTGAGAGCAAGATGAAAACAGCCTTTTTTCTTCTCTTTCCTGCTATTGTGAAGTGATGTGAGAGAATGCTATCCGATTAGTGCCAAATGACCCTCCATTGTTAGGCCTTCGGTGCAGCCCTAAATAGTCTCTGTCACAGGGGAGTCATTGAACTTTCAGAACTTAATCTTGAGTGATTCCTGATGGTTCCTGTACTTTCATTCCTTCACATTTAACCCCTGCTCCATTGTCCATGTAAGGAAGTAAAGGAGTTTATAGCTCTTGGATGTGGAAGCTTTCTCCCAGTAATCGAAGCCTGTATTAAAGCATTTAAAGGACATTCATACCACCATGCACGCAGCGATAATGTGCACCTAGTCGTGCCATATATACCGTAGCAGGTTGACAGTTGGTAGCACCAGACTCCTCTGAAAATGTTTCAGTGAGAACGGCAGCTGAAGAAAAGAAGTATTCTTTGGTTCCTTTACTGATTGATATTTCAAAATGCGGAAGAGAAAGTGATAAGTGGTTTCCTGTGTTGTGTTAAATGAGTCACTTCCCAGGCTTGTCAGAGAGGATGAGCATAGGAGGTGAGTGATATCTGAAGACAGTCTGGCCTCAGGCAGGAAAGATGACACCCTGAGAGACATGCCTGTCTTCAGTCCCATGGCAGACACACACAGAGAGAGGGAGGCAATGTGTGGGGAAATGCCGTGGCAGCATCAAATCCACCTACCCAAAACCACTACCATTTAAAAATACATTTTCATTTTCCACTCTTTATATGAAAAAAATTTTTTTCACCTCATAGGCCAATCCAGTCAGCGACGTTTAACTTTGTTCGCATGCAGCAGGCCCTGACTGACTTTAATCCTCTGGTGTTTCAAAACGTCAGTAGTTTGACATTTTTGGGGCATATTCTAATTTGCTGTCCTGCCAAGAGTTAATCTGGAAGATAGAGACCGCTCTCATGTGTGCTGGTTCAGTATGAAGATATAACTAGCAGATGGTTAGCTCAGAATAAAAACTGGAAAGTCTAAAGGTTTGACAGACTCTGTAGACCAACACCGCTAAAGCTAATCTAGTCACACATTGTGTCTTATTTGTTTTATCTGCCCTAAAACCAAAGTTCAGTTTTATTGTGTATTCTGTTCCCATGTTTAACTGTGGGGAGAGTGAACAGTAGTGAGGCAAACACACAAGACAGAATAATGTTGAATAGTAATTGTTGCAGGGTTTATTTTCATGTGCATTTTATGGATTATAACTTGAAAACCCTGAAACCAAACTTTGGTTAACACCAACTCATCAACAGCTTATGTCTCTGTGGTTCTGTGAAACTGTTGCACACAGTGACTCGTATCAAAGTCTTTTCCAAACCCTGAATCTGAAATCAGTTACAAGAGTAATTGGAAACAGGAAAGCATAAGGAGAGCGGCTGCTTCTCTGGAAGTTAAAGCTGTTTCCTTCTAAGCAAAGAACCTGAATAAAACCCAGAAGACAGGTAATGGATTTAGGGAATGGCTCACAGTCCTTCCACCCTCCTCTGCCCTGTACTCCTCTTTTCTCTCCCCCCTGAGGCCTATCCTCTCAATGTTCCTCTCAGTAAAATCATGGAATATCCCTAAATTCCCATCAGAGCATGACACCTGCTCATTGTCTCATAAAACAAAGACGCTGAAAAATGCTAGTGCAGCATAATGCATGCAGACATTTGCCAATGACTTAGTTAATCTGTCAGTGGAAGGGTGTTTCCCTAATAGGAAACAACTGCATGTGAATGTGGGAGCACAGAAACTGAGCCAAAACACACAGGTTAATATCTACCTAGTAATCCTTCATTTTTGTCATCTATTATTTTGAATGTTATATAACTAGGTCCTTTAGCCAAAAGAACATGAAATCAAATCCAAAAGTAGAATCTTTTAAGTAGGCTAAGGGTAGGCCAAGGGTCACATTTGGTTATGCAGTTGTTGTTATTCTTGGATTACTGTCACCAACACAATGTGTAGGCAGCATTTTTTCCTGTTGCAGCTGGCTGAGATACAGCTAAGAAGATGTTCTGCAGTGGAAGAAGTACTCAGATCCCCAAGTAAAAGTAACAGTAAGGTAAAATACTCTTACAAGTAAAATGTTACTGAAGTAGAATTACATAAGTATTAGCATCAAAACAAAATGCTAAAAGTATGCACCGTGCAGAACGGCACATTTCACATTAATGTATTTCACTGGATTTGATTACAATTACTGGTGCATTATTGCTTATTACATTTAATGTTGCAGCTGGTAAAGGAGGAGCTAGTTGTAACATGCTTTTAATTTGAATTACTGCTGGGTAGCTTGTGGTTTTCCCACCAGCGATCAGTAAAGTCAGAGGATTATAGTCATTTTTGTATGAATGGGGGGCCACTAGAGGGCGCCATTGTAAGTGATACTTTCTGGTGCTGCTTTAGATATTCTCTCTCCCTCCTGAAGCCCCTGGGTAAGAACCAAAAGCATGTCTGAGCATGAAAACTGTTATGAGCTGGTGCATTCTGTAGTAGAGTATATATGCAGCGTGTGTTATCTGTTTAGCAGCTGAGTCATCAGAACCACTGTGGTGTTCAATCCCTCCATTTTCAGGAAAAGGTTATGTGGCTGTGATGTTGTGTTTTTATGCAGGTATTAACTATTTCTCTTAGCTGGTCAGTGTTAGCCATGTCCCTCTTCACTGTCAGCAGATTGTGAACTGCTAATATCATTTCAAATTCACATGTACAGGTACATGAGGCCCCTGAGCTTAGATCCTATATTTTTACACAAAAAGCAGATGTACAAGCCCTTGAGTAGGACTAAGATTGACAAAGAAAGTGCTAGTGAATTTGTACCAGTGGAACACACACACACATACTGTATGCATGTGCCTACCACTCACGTACACACACATACACACTCTTACAAGTTGTCCTGCAGCCAGCTGATGTATCGTCTGACTGCCCGTTTGCCTGCATCAAATTCCCTGGATAGGTAACCATGAAAGCCGTCTTCGTAGTGGTCGTTGGTAACTGTGACTCCTGCATCCTGCAGGCGGCGTGCGTACATCAGCCCGTCATCCCTCAAAACATCATATTCGCATGTTATGATGTAGGCCCGTGGGCATTTGGCCAAAACCTCTGGTCCTGCCAGCAGCGGTGCCGCCCGCACATCCAGCAGCCCGGGCACCTCCTTCACAAGCCCCTGCAAACCTTTTTCAGCAATCACAGGCTTGTAGTTCTTCTTGAATTTTGGGGGCAGGAGAACGGTCCAGTCGATCCGTGCCCTCAGCTCTGGGGTGATGGTTGAGTGGTGTAAGGAGCTGTGGTTGTTCACCAGGAACTGGGGCAGCAGGGAAAGATCCACACCCAAGTACTGGAGCCAAAAACGAACCATGAGGGGCCGGTAGAGGATGGGTATGTGTTGGTTCTGCACGTAGGAGGGCGTGTTGAAGTCCACACCTTGGAGCACTGGGTAGATCAAGGCCTGAGCACTGAACTTCACAGTCATTGTGTCATCTATGGCAATCTGAGAAAATACAGACACACGTGAGGCACGGCACCTACATTCTCCTGTAGGAGTGGGCTTCTACATGTACCTCCTGAGCGACTGCAGCAGCCAGGTTTCCGCCTGAACTGTCTCCTGACACAGCCACACGCTCGGGGTCAATCGCATACTTGGCCAGAACCTCTGGGGACAAGAAGTGTTGGGCAGCAGCGAGGCAATCTAAGTACGGCACTGGAAAGCGCACCTCTGGATACAGGCGATACCTAAACAGACAGTGGTGGCAGGTGGTAATTTTACTGGAGCTTTAGAAAACACTGGATCATCTGACTACAAGTCGTCTTTCTACAGTTGTCATAGGACGTCCTATTTAACCTGTGAAAATATTTTCATACTCCTCTGGCTCTGAGAAGGACTTCAAGCCTGAGTAAAGAGGTAAAAAGTTAGAGCAGCTCTCTATCAGCAGTCGATCTCTTTCCTTAAGAGCAGGAAAACATTGAAACAGTAGATCAGTGTTGCAGGAGGGGAGACACTTACTCAACAGAGACCACAACAGCGTCGAGCTCGTCAGACAACATGCGGGTGAGGGCATCATATGCACCCATCTCTGTGAAAGTGAGAGAGAGATGGAGGATCGTGTCAAAGTAACAAACAGCAATGTTCTACTGAATCATGCATGTATTTGAAAATTTACTGTGAAGCACAAACAGACATGCAAACAAAGTTACTACCCAAACTCTTGTTGAATCTGGACAAATCATTCCCCTTAATATTAGAGACTAAGATTAGATTAATATTAGATGACTTGATACTCTTCATTGCAGGTTTTGGAAGGCCAAAATTTAAATGTTACATTTACAATAGCTGCATTTGAAACCCATTTAAAAGATAAAAATAAAAAAAAGATTTGAGGAAAGAGCTCTTATTTTTACTTCAGGACAGCAGTAACATCTGATTAGTACTCACTGCTACTGCCGAAGGCCCAGCCTCCTCCATGGAAGTACACCAATCCCCTCCTCAGATGGCCCTCCCCTCCAGCCGGGGGCTCATAAACACGTACTGGGATGCCAGCGAAAGTGATGTCGCTGACCTTCACTCCCGGCACAACCCCTCCACCAGACTCAGAACCGAATAACCCCTTCACCACATCCACGAAGCCCTTTGTGGATTGTCCAAAAGATTTCATGGAGTTGTCCAAGCCCAGCCAATCCTTCAAAGAGGCCTGAAGACAGAGGAGAGGGGGGAGAGTAAACAAGACTCAAGACATGCTGTATTCAGGCGGCGACAACAGCATGTATGGGTAAAGACGAAAAGCATTCATCTCCTGTCAGGAACTTGAGTCACCGCTGTCTCACCCAGTCAACTCTGTCCTTCTGCACTGCAGCTTATTGATATGTCTGCCGTTTTCCCCATAAACCTCTCAGGATGTCTCAATAGTCGGGTTCAGCCGAGGCCAGATAACACAGCTGCATGGCACAGCGGTGGCTTGGATCCAGTCTTTTATTCCAAGTGCAATCAGCATTGTCAACTAAAAAGCTGAGACACAAATATTTCTCCACCATATTTTTACATTTGAACCCTTTTAATGCCGTTTTAGGTATGTGTATTTATTTAGCCAGTTAATTGTGTTTTATACTTCAGTACCTGTTTGTGTTTTTACTGCCACATCTGTGCCATATGTTACACATTCTTTTGCTGCTTTTACTTTGGTGACCTACAGTTTTTAACTATAGGATAACAAAGTTGTACTGTTATGTGTATTGTATTCTGTTATCAAGAACATCCTTTACATTAGTGAGTTTTAATATTTTTTTTCATCAACACTGTTTTCAGTGGAGTATTTTCTTCTTCAACACTTCGTACTCAGTCTACAGTATGCTATAGACTTTCAATGTTATAAAAGAACAGATTTAAGACTTAAAAATGACTGAACAAGCTACATATTGAAGAAAAAGTCTTGAATTTGGATGATCTGCTTTGTATCAAAGTTAAATGATCATAGTTCTCTCTTTTTTTTAATACAATAAAGCATTAAATGCCTTGTATTTATAGTATTTGCTTTGGAGTCAACACGCCTTTGCAGATGCACATTCATCTGTAGCCAACAGCCAGTGTGGCAATAAGTGACTGAAATCATCAATACCTCACGTACACAATCACTTTCAAAATACAGAACAAAGGTAAACGGGTCACTGTCCCCACAGTCCCCCAGTTTGAATGAGCCCTAAAAACACCTGCTGTCATCTTGTATAGGAGTCATACAGTCTGCTCACAAGATGCACTACTTCAAATAGGTACACGTTGTAAAACGCTGATTATGCAAGTAGTATTTTCCAGGGCCGCCTCAACAAACCCACTAGTAGCCTATATTAAATTTGGCCATTTCAGGATTAGTAGGTAGAGTCAAAGTCCAAGTCCGACCAGGCAAAGTGTGTCGTGTATTTCATCGCCACCACTATTACACAGCTATTAGTGAAGAAGTAGCTGCACAGAGAATGTAAAGCCTTTGCTCAGATATTAATAACTGCAGCTGCACACATCTGCGAGCATCTCTCTTACAAGGTGCATCGCTGATCGGAATCCAGCGTCCAGCAACATCAACTTCCACGGCTCCTGGATGGCATCTGGCAGGGGGACGTACACGTAATAAGCCACGGCCACCGTTAGTAATATTGTAACTATAACTGGAAACAGCCTCATCTTATATCTGGCACCTGCACTGTCTTCACTGTCTCCAGTAGGAACCAGATCGACTCGCTCTGATCTGTTTCTGCGGGTCTGTCTGGGACTGGCAAAGCCAAACAGGGTCCAGAGTTAGGAAACGCCTGAACGTCAACACAGAATTAAGCACTTCTGTTACGAGTGTTCAAAATAAAACCTTTAACCATTTGACAGCTTTTCCTATGAACCTCTAAATGGAATGTTTAGCCTAATTAATCGATAGAAATCTGCTACCGGTGCTTTCAGTAGCCTACTATCTGAACTAGCTTGATTCAGATTTGACTCGTTTAAAGAACGTATGTTGTAACGAAGGCAGTAGATAAGTTTGAGCCGGAACTGTGTTATTATACAAATGTATAATAAAATATAAAATCATTTATCCACCCGTAAAACTCACGCTAAGGTTACTCTATCGAAAAAAAAAGTTAAAACCTCATACTTTTCTTCTTCAGAAATTGAACATAAGCCACACTTTTATTTTGAAAGCGGAGGAACAACATGGAATTCTGGGAAATTGAGACGTCAGTGGGTACTAAGTTGTATTACCCACACGTGACCGCAGAGAGGCACAATAGAGCTGCGGACGGCAGACAGTCAGGACTCCATTCATTAAATCTGTTTTTATAAAAGTGTTGTTAGACAGTGTGCAGTTAAAATGCCATGGCTAAAATAACAACGTTGACTGGGAGATTATAATAACTGAACATTTTAGTTAAGTTTTGAAAATGCTAATTTAATCAAACTATAACGGCGTAACAGTGACACTGATAGAGGTACATATTTATCTCTGATGCAGTGTTAGTTTGTTTACAGATTAGGGCCGAAACATTTCAGAGCCATTTTGTATTTTTGCCACTTTTAGAAAGTGCAGTCTGGTGTGGACATTGAGCAAAGGCAGGAAAACAATCTGTGCTGCATGTGAAAGTAAAACACCTTTTCTACTTTAGACATTCAGTTTTACATTTTTTCAGCATCCCTGACAATGCTGTAAAGACCAACAAATACAACAGAGTAAAAACAAACAAGAAACCCTGGTATCAAACAGTATCAGTTGCAATTTTTTTAAAAGCTCTGAACAGGAGGGTGAATGATGTGGGGTGAAATTACTATAAAGCTGGTCAAAGATCAAGGGTTCTTTTTTTTTCACTGATGCATTTTCATGTGAATACATTAATACTGAACTGGAGTCTTACTGGAATGCATTAGCAGTGCAAGTCACTGGAATAGGCTCAGACTCATTATTCACGGGCTATTGATCCCTCCACAATACTGTTCAATCAGACTGTTTTTGGACTTTCCATCTGTTTTTAGATTGTTATTTTCTTTTGAGGCCAGCAATAGTGTTCAATATTTACACTGGGCCATTGCTTTTATTTTCACACCACTGAAACAACAAAACCAAACTTGAAAATCTGCCGTGTACATGTCTTAAAATTAAATCTATTTCAGCAATAGACTGTGTGTAACTTTATATACAGTTTATGATTTTAGCAGTATGGTGTGGTATTGATTTTCTTCTCTTTAACATGAGTGTTTTTTGTTTTGATAGAATACAAAAGATGAGCAAAAAGGAAATGTTAGTTCAGAGAGAGAAGGGGAGTCGTGTAACAAATTTCACTAACTGAGGACATTGCAGCCTATGTGGTATTAACCTTAGATGACTACAGCCACAGTGGTGCCATGTGACTGGTTTTCAAGACTGGTCTGAATCCTTGTCGCCATCAGAGAAAGGCAAACAGCAGCATGGTACAGTCAGTAGCGCCATAGCCAACAGGTCAAAGTCTCTCAATGTCATCTTCTCGCTATCTCCCAGTACTATTTATCGCTCTGTTTCTTCATATGGTATGACTTTTAAATGGCATCTGTCTGTCCCTGGTGGCTGTGTGTGAGAATATAAACAAACGTCAGAGCTGATGTGGCTCTGACCCCTGCACTGGGCCAGTTTTCCAAAACACTGCAAGCAGACCATGTCAAATTAGCCTCTTGGAAAACTAGAGTAGAGCTCCCAGGAGAAGGCATGGTTGAAGAAGATCATAGTGGCATCTTTAATCCAAAAATTGATCAGTAATACTAGATCTGACAGGAGTGATCACCCTGTACAGTGATGTCATACATAACTTCCAGATGGATGTCAAGATTTATTGAAATGTATTTTAGGAATTATGCTTATTAACTTTCTTGCTGAGAATACTGATACCTCTCACATCTGTCCATTCAATGTAAAGCCATAGGCAAGAGCTGGTTAGCTTAGCTTAGCTGATCTTAGTTTATCTTAGCCTAGTTTAGTTTAGCTTACCTTAGCATAAAGACCAAAAATAGGGGGAAACAGTCAGTCTGGCTCTGTCTGAATGTTAAAAAAAATCCATCAGAACCTGTAATAATCACAAATAAGTTATATGTTGTTAGCTTGGCAAATAAGCAAACTAAAAATGTCAAACTATACCTCTGATGCATTCTCATTTGTCCACTAGGCCAAGTTGGCCCTTTTACTGCCACTTTCCATTTATATTTTGATCCCATAATCATGTTCAGGGCCCCCAGGTGCATTATGGTGGTTTCTTTATACTGTATAAGCCTACCTTACAGTGTAGTCTGGTATAGATAGAGGAAGAAATAATATGCAGGGGGTTTGGATGCATAATGTGGTAAAACTGTGACTCTTTGCTGAATATTAAGCATATAAATGAGAAGGACTGTGCTGCAGAATTGCCTGTTAATATTTCAATACTTTTTTCTGACATGATAACTTGATCACTGCAGTTCAGTCCGGCTGCAGTTACAGTTACTCATGACACACAGAGTTACAAACGTTTTGCAGTCATCTTGAAATCCTACAGGGGGTGAGTGTTTCACACACACACACACACACACACACACACACACACACACACACACACACATACAAGTGCCATACTTGCTCACTTTCCAAAAATCCCTCTGAATGAAAGTGTCAGCATGTTAATGTGATATATGTGCTTGCGTGTGTGCATTAAAATTCTCTCTTCCTGCCCCCACCCTCCTTGCCTCCTGTGTGTTGGTCTGGTGTCTCCCTCCAGTCTGTGGTATGGAGGGCAGAGAGAGGCCCAGGCCCAGGCCCCTCTCCTGTGTCACTTACTGGAATTACACGTATGGTCATTTAACATGACCAAATGCATATGGCAGAAATTCAGGTTTTCCATTTCAGGGAATCCTGTTTATGCAATGTGCTGCAGGGATCCTTTGTATTGTCATGATTCTGCAGGTGAAGCCATGAATATACAGTAGCTAACCTGTCACCAGTGTTAGATGTTTAGCCACTTATAGGTGACGTTACACCTAAAACCTAACTAACATCAACTTAAGTTGACCACATCTGTTGTTGTAAAGAAAGAAACTAACAGCCATGTCTCACGTCTACAGGAAGTAAGTTTTTAATAAAGGAAGACTGATTAGACAAAGGCGGATCTAGAAAATTCTGGATCTGTTGGCCGGGCTGGGGTATAGACTCAGAGAGGGGTGGCACATTTGAAAGACATGTAAAAAGTAAATGAAGTTCTATGAAATAAACCACACATTATTAAGAATCAAACTGGTTATTTTTTGTAAAGATAAGCTACATATGGTGCTTTCTTTAGCTAACTTTGCCCATTATTTACTCTCCACCAGGGACACAGCTGCTGCACCCCCCACTGAGATGAATCATGCCTAGTAAAAGCATTAAAAACGCTAGAGACTTCTGTTGTGGCGTTGTAGGAGTGATAAATGAAATTACAATATGGCATATGGATACAGTACAGTGTTTATGTTGGCACACACTAGACATACCTTCGTGCAAACAGTGACAGTAATGTATTGTGGTATTCAGAAATGTCATGGACAACAGGCCAGTTACATGCTTCAGCTGCAATGCAGATTCTATTTCTGAAATGACAAATGATGTCCTGTTGTTATTATGGTCACACCTTTAAAAACAGTAACATAAGTGGGCTGTTGTTTGTTCAAGGTGTACACAACGTTCTTAACTGATTCAAAGCTATTTACCCTGCTGCTGAGCCAATAGTAATCACCTGTTTCAAAATGAACGTGTGAACCATAGTGAAGATTTTTTTACATTATTATATTGTGGCTGGTGGCTTAGTAAGTGTTAGTTGTCTGGTTGTTGCAATAACAATGACTTGTTCTGTTACATCTGTATATTATGTGACACAATTTAAAGGAAGTGGCCCCAAATCATTGCAGTTGTTCTTGCAACATCACATGAGGCTTTGTTCCCCTGTAAGGAAGGGAGGGGGCGTGTGGCACAGAACTGAAAAGGATTCAATCCGACATCTCAAGCTGAATTCACACATTGTGCCATTAACAAGTGCAATGTGGTTTTTGTTTCCTTCACTGGGAGTGAGCACCGCAAGATAAAAAGACACCTGCAGACATTGCCAGTAAGAAAAATTGATCCAAAAAGAAACGAATGCATTGTTTTCATCTGTTACAGAAACTCTGCATTACATTTCAGTGGCATTGCTCTTGGGATGTCACATGCTTTGCATATAATTTACTGAAAGTGAACAGAAAAGTAAAGCTCTTATTTCAAAGTCTTCAATTCTGAGTCAGAGTGCACAGGACAGCTAACAGCAATATGGTTGAGAGATTTTCGGAATCTCCTTTAATTATTAAAAGCCCACACCAAACAGCCAGAAGCAAATACAGCCTCTGACTAAAGTTACCTTTAAGAATGAATTTAAATCTTTGCTTTACTGTAAAGGTGAGGAGGAGATACAAATCAGAAAGGACACAGTCTGATGTATTTTGTCCAACAGGGATCTGCCCTTTGCCAGAAAGCCATTAATTAATTCATTGTAGAAGTAGGAGAAGGTTTCAATGCTCTTCATCACCAGTTTCACAGATCCCCCCCCTCATTTTTCATTAAACCCCTCCCTTCCACTCCCAACCAAATCTTTCCACCACCAGCTCAGAGCCAGCTCATCTAGTTGCTGTCAGACTCAAGTTTTCCATTGGTCTCCTAGACTTCAGAAGATGAATGGCATAGTCCATTCACTGTAGCCAAAAGCAGAAAGCACATCAGTTCCTTCAGTTTGTGCACCCCCCCCAGTTTGGAAAAAGTGTCAGGCTGGCAGCTGGCCTGGGCAGTGAGAGGTCAAAGGTCAGGTGTCAGATAGGGACTGATGTGGACAGCTGCATGCCTCAGCCCTGACCTTTAACCTGGAGGTGCATGAGGACAGTGCTGTACTGTTCTGCTGAGGCGAGATGCAGCTGTTTTACCACACAAACACACAAAACGTCTGTGAAAAACAGTGGCAAATACTAACAACTGAATCAAAACATGCAGAAACACACATAAGGCAGCAGAGAATAACATGAACATGATTAAAAAACACACAGGCGAGTATGCACACACACTTCCTCCCATGGGATAATCAGCCAACACCCACTCTCACTCTCATGATCTTCTCTCTGGTCTAAATGGGATCCTGATGTTCTCTTAACCAGTCCGCCACACTCACCCCTGCCCCACACCTCCTTCGGCCACAACCGAGGCTGTTAAACACGGTTTTGCGCTCCTTTCCTTGTTCTCAGCTGCTGCAGAGCGACATTGACAAGAAGCAGCTGTTGTGGTGATGAGAGCGTGTGAGATGCAGTAGGCAACAACCAGAAAAGATAAAGCAATAACTGAGCAGATATACTGACATATGGTGGGAGTTACCTTCAGCATACACATGCATGTTATAAATATGTGAGTGACTGCCATTTTATCAGCACATTAGTCTGTGGTTCCGGCATGTGAGATTTCCTTTAGTAAAGTTGTAGCTTGACTGCTTTAAAGAGAACATCTGGACACAGGAGCAGCAGCTGAGGACCTTGAGATGTTGGGAAGTTGCACTACATCTATACACAAACTGAAGAGCCTGGCTAGAAGACAGGAAGAGGGTGTCCTGGTGTGCAGAAGGGAGCCAGTGTGGCCAGCTGGTATCATGTAGCACACTAATAAAACTCTTCCCTGTCTATAAACAACTCCCCGAGGAGGCAAAACTTAAACTCACAAAGATGCAGAGTTCAACAGGCCTACTCATAGTGAGCGCACACACACAGGCAATCTGACTCACCTTGTAAAAACACATGTGTAGTCAAGAGTTTTATTAACTTGGGTTTAGTAATAAGCTCTCCTCTGCCAGATTTAGGCCTGGATAGCTGTGCTGTGGTGTGTGTTCATTTATGTGGGATTGTGTGACCTTGTTGTTCTTGGCTTTATGTGTGATGCTGTATTTCTGGCGTCTGTTGCTTTCAGCAGAAGCTCAAATCTGGGTTCCTTGCTCTTAACATATGTCCTTGTATATGTGTGTGTGCGTGTTCGGTGTATGTGAGCTGGTGTGAGGTGCTGAGTGACACTCTCTGTTCCATTTTGTCAGGATGTGTCAGCACCCTCATTGCTCTTTCTTGTTCTTCCTCCAGCCCTCCCCGGTGCATACAGCTCTGCAGCATAGCTCTCTTTAGACCCTCAAACCGAATAAAGAAAAACTCCCCAAAACCCTGGAAAAAATCCCCAGCTTAAAAGAGCATTCTTCCTGCCTAAACCTAATCATATTTTGTTTCCCATAACCGCTACACCTCCCTAAGCTCAACCACTATGCACAAATATTGCAGAAAGCATTACAGTTAGAGGTAACTGATAAAATATATTTGTTTGTTTGTTTTGGCAGTTGGGGTGAAATAAAGCTTTAAGATTTCCCTTCGTCATGAGAGGCAATAGGTGGTAATGTATCTGGGCAGTTTCCCAGATTTGGCAAACAAAATTAGACCAGGTAAAATGGTATTCTGCACTTAGCTGCCATCAGAGACTTTATGTAAGTGGTCTAAAATGTTTATGCAACTTTTTGTGGTCCTCTTCCTGTAACGCTGGACTGGCTCCTCCTCTAATTTATTGCTAGTGTTTATTTTTACCCTGTGGATAGGTCGAGGTTTCCAGCATGCACACACACACAAACAGGCCCTTCTTGTCATGTGATGCAGGCCTTGGGATAGTTGATGCTGTTAAAGGAGACATATTCTAGGAGGATTTGAAAGGGGTCTTAGGTGTGTGTGTGTGTGTAGAGAGAGAGCTGGAGAGCTTTAAATCAACCCATCACACATCATCCATCAGCAGATCTTACTCTCACTCATCAGTGTGGTAACATCACACTGCCAGCGATGCAACCACACACCATACTGCATTTTAGCAATTTTATTTTATTTATTTTTTAACCCCCTCCTTCGTTGTCTGCTAAAATCACAGTTTCAAGTCAATGATCCAGCGGCATCGACAGCCTCACCACTAACACTGATGCAGGACACAGAGTCACATCAACCCCTCTGACCATGTGGAAGTAGTAGAGATCATGCAATAGTAACAGGGGAGGGGGTCACAGCTCTACAGAGCAGATTTCCGTCTCTTTCAATTAAAGCAACACATGGAGGAATAACAAAAAAAGAGGCCTTTGGGCAATATCGTTGTTTTACTGTCAGCCATCTGTCTGATCAATTTATAAACTGTATTAGGAGCTGCAGTCAGTGCTGTAGTTGACTCCTGGTCTCCATAGAAACACAGGATTTGAGCACAGACATCTTGCATTCACCAAATTAGTTATACCTGCTGCCTGATGTGAGCACAGTGTTTTATCTTTATTCTGTATCATTGATAGATTATTCAAAGAGCCTCAGGGCATAAATCTCTCACACTGAAACTGCGGCGTTACAAGATCATTATATCTTTCAGTCCACAAAGCGAATTATTCATGTCGCAGACGCCTTAAAGCTACCCAGTAGAGTTCAGGCTTTGCCATGAGAAACTATTTTGTTGTTGATTAAAAGACATTTAACCGGTGTGACAACATATTCCTGAGCTGCCCCTAAACATCTGTGAGAGCCAGTTGTTTATCTTACTCATCTGTCATTATTCTGGAATACTAGACAGTTTATAGCTACATGAGTGATGATCATATGTTTATAAAAATAAATAAAGTAGAGCAGCTGCTACATCTGGCTGAACATCATGAAGGACATTTCTAACATATCACTTGCCCAGGGTCTATTTCTTTACACGTTTGGTATTAATATGTGGTATTGAGATTAAATAAGTGGAAATACTACAGTAAAAGTAAACAAATCTACCAAGTAGCCAAAAGATTTTGATATTACTTGTTATAAAGAATCGCTGGTGTAGGGCTACTGTCTGAGCTACTATTACCTAATGCATTCAATAAGCTGCATTATTTTGTTAAAAAGATTTGGGGTTTTATGAGGAAATCATTAATATTTGTAAGCCTGAGATATCAAATAATTATTTTAGCATCAGTACAGAAACTTATACACTGCACTGACAGTTCAAAAGATGCCAAGCCCTAATATCTAGGGCTGAAATGATGTCATTAAATTAAGAAAGTTATCAAGCAATAATTTTAATAATGGATTTGTCATTTAAGTTATTTTGAAGCAAAAGTGCCAAAAAAAAATCACTGGTTCCAGTATCTCAAATGTGAATCCAGTATATGCTGATGTCCTCATTTTCTATTAAAGCACGTTTAGGTTTTGGACAGTTAACTGAACCAAGCAACTTGAAGATGTCACCCTGGGCTTTGAGAAATTTAAATGGATATTTTTCACCTATTTGGACATTTATCAGATCTGTTGTTTGATATAAACGATAGTTGCAACATTAATATTCGCATGTAGTCTGGGCAAAAAGTATAAAATGAGACAAACGGAGTAAACTCGCTTCAACATGATGCAGCCAATTGGAAACACAAACCAGTCGAGCTGTCACTCTGCTCGAGCCCCCGCCCCGCCGCTCTGTTAACGGGAACTCCCCCTAAGTTCCCCGGTTCTCCTCTCTCCGCTCATTCTCTCCATGAGCTGTCACGCACATACACACTTACGCACACAACAGGGTCGCTGCATGTTGGAGCGAGCGTCCGCGCTCTCTCCGTCGTTCCCCGGTTACCGAGAGGCGGCTGTTTGTCTTCGCAGTCTGCGGCGAGCCACGTCGTGACAGAGTTTGGAAGCGGCTGAAGGAGGAGAGAAGGTGGAGAGAAAAGGTAGGGGATGGTGCCAAAAGGAGTCTTTTCCCTTGTCTCTGTTTAGAAACTTTACCGTGTGTTTACCGTCCTCACCGCCCGTCTCGTGCGTCGTAGGGATTTCGGCTGCTGGCTTTTTGGTAACGAGGGCGTGTTTATGGAAGTATTTCTGTTTGCGCGCGCGTGTACGCGCGTGCGCTTTCACATAGGGGGTGGGGGTCCTGTTGTGTCAAAGGAAGTTTAGAGACTGGACGCGCAGACTGTGGCGGATCATTGACTGGGGCAACCTGCACACTGCAAAAAATAGCCACATCCCATGTGAGTGAAATCTTCTTAAATGGGAAAAAATGTAGTTTTGTGTTTCACTAGTATAAAGAAAATACAGACTCAAGTACGGGGAGTTTTGGTTTGATACTGTGCACATGTCTGTGCAGATTCTCAGTCATCCAGGTCATAGTAAGCTGAAAAAAAACTTAGAATAAATAAACTGGACTAGATTTCTAGGTCGAGGACGTTTAACCTCTCATCCAAGAGGATACTGTGCACAGAAAGCAGAAAACACTTGTTGTAAATGGACATTAAAGTTATCAATAAGAGTGCACTTTTGCTGCATCCAGCACCCCATTAGTCTAAGAGCCTGATATTTGACTTTAAAGCACAGTTTGGTCAATGCATTGAATCAGGAAAGGTTTTAAAAACAGAAACAATTCAAAGTGCAAGGTGAAGAAATGCATTAAATGATATTTAAAAACACCAAAAATAGGAAGTGTGTGTGTGTGTGTGTGTGTGTCTGGGAACAGTGGTGATATCCTGTCAGATCCTATGAGGTGGGGGTCAGTCACAGAGTCTCCCCTCTGGAATTCTCCTAGAATAGATGTGACACATACACTTTGAGCAGTGTCTTCAGTCAGTTTAATGACTTTTCTTTAAAAGATGACTCATAATGACCTCAGTGCTGGGATTTCATAAACGCTGAAGTAGCATGTTACCATGAAATAGATGGACTATAGCAGCTGAGACGTTTGTGCACTCAAGATAGAACGTGTTCTTGATGCCGACTCTGATATGTCTCTTCTACTGTACATGTGCATGCGTTTTCAGTAGTTAATCTCAGTTTCATCCAGTCCAGCTAAGTCTGAATCACTTGACCTCTGCTTTGTTCGATCTGCTCTTGGAGCTGGATTTAGTCAGTTTTACAGGTGTTTGTCGGATTGCTGTTGAGTCGTTGAGTCGCTGCTCCTCATCATTATTTTGTTGTATCGTCTTCTTCTTAACACAGTAGTCATCAGTCACAGGTAGGGGAGGGATGTCTTGCTCAAGGGCAAAGTGCCCTTGGCTTCGCATCTAGTGTTCTGCATCCTAATGCTCTTGCAGACAGTGCAGAGTGACGGGAATGAGTCAGACAGGATGTGTAAGAGCAACAAACCATTGCTCTCTTGTTACTGCCTGGCCTGTTCAGGTGATGTACCTCTGAGATGATGGCTGCTTAAACGTGTGTGTGTGTGTGTGTGTGTGTGTGTGTGAGAGAGAGGATCTTGTCTCCTGTAACTTGAGCCTGGCTGGACACACTGACTCTTGGAAGGCTACAAAGACGGCTCTGGATGAAATGTGAGGAATGTGGAAGTTTGTGTGTGTGTGTGTGTGTGTGAGAGAGAGAGAGAGAGAGAGAAAGAGAGAGAGCATCAGCATCCTGGCATACACACATCCTAACACACATACCTACAGACACCAACACCACCACGATAATCAAAAACAACAACAACAAACAAACATGACTCTCAGACTCCAGCTTCTCCAGAAGGAGGATTTATTTTTTCTTGATTAATTGCTCAGTCTGAAATATGAAATAATAGTGAAACATCACAATCTTATAAAAGTCAAAGAAAAGCAGGTAATTCTTACAAATGTGACCCTGGAACAGCGTTTTTTAAACTTTTACCTGTAATTTGTTTCCAGTGTAAAATCGGTGGACCTCATTGAATGAAAGTGGTTGAAACTATGACTCTTAGCGATGGAACTGAACGGGAAAGGAAACATCGGAGAGGGTGTGAGGAAACAGTCTGAATGACAGAATTACAACTGTAGCAAATATTATTAAATGAGGCAATTTTGTACTTGGTGTCCATAGTTCAGTCTGTGAGCCAGTTAAGTACATAAGAAGGATCACTGACAGTGACAGTTTTTTTTTTTATATTGATCTGCTTAAGAACAGCAGCAACTAATTGATTAGTTGATCAAACAATTGAAAGTATGCAGAAAGTATTTAGTCATTATTTTGTCCTTCATTATAGTAAAATATCTATCTAAATCTATGGACTGTGGCTCAGACCTAGCGAGACTTTGGAAGATGTCACCTAGAAGATTTTAATGATTTACAGACCAAGCAGTTAGGTGGTTAATCAAGAAAATAATTGGCAGGTTAACTGAGCCCTAAATAGAATATTTTGGGCTTTTGAACAAGCAATTTGAAGACATCAGCTTGTGATCTGGGAATATGTGCCAGGCATATTTGCAGCTTTCTGACATTTTAGTCGTTACCAGATTAATTGATTAACTGAGAGGTTAAGTAATGTTGAAAAGAGTCATTTGTTGCCCAGCTAGGTGTCTCAGGTCTCATGGTTTCATGGCTGTGTGCATGCACTGATGCAGGAGAATGCTTGTGTGAAACATGATGTTAAACTAGCCCGGGGCCAGGCATACACTCCATGTGTAAACTTATCCACAAGTTTCAACCCACAGGGGGAAAATTAGTAAATTCACACTTTAGGAGACAGAGCGATGTCATGGAGTTTGCATTCTTCCGCTAGTGGAAGTGCCAGAGGTGGCTGTGGTTTTCCTTTTGTATCAAGTCATTTCAGCCCTTATCATCTCATACAGTATGAGCTGGAGTCGTCGTTCTCGATACTGTACCAAAATGGTGACACTATGTCAAAAGATGCTGGTTTGTCCTATCATTATCCATTACTCAAGAGCGACCGACACCAGTGTATTTATTTTAAATGACTGATCTGAGTAATTGCACCCTTTATTTTCCACTTTTTACACCATTACTCTTCTTGTTCCAGGCTCAGTTTCTCTTGTCTCCTTTCCTTTCATCTACACGTTGTGGAGGAGGTTGTTTTATGTGTTTTAACTTCCAGAGAAGTTGACTGATCAGTTGCTCTGTGGTCTGTTGCTTCCCATCTCGGATGGATGGTCTGTGGGTGGATTGGTGGGCGGATGGGCAACGGAGTCTGAAACTGTATTTATGTGAGCCATGGTTTTTCACAGTCCCTCACAGATGTGCTTCTTTTCACATGCGCTTGTTGTTCCCAAACTTTGTGGATATATGAGTGTAATCTGGGTTTTATTTCTCACATAGGTGTAAAAGAAGAGTTGGCGCCTAGCAACAGTATCCCATTGGAATACACTGGGAGTGCCTTGATGTAATGGAGTAATGACTGTGGTTGTGGTGGTTTACAGCAGACAGATGTGGGTTGGATCAGTGGGTTGAGTCACAAATCGTAGACTAACAACGTCTTGCTTCACTCCCGGTTACTTCAGTTCTATTCATATCAGTTTTTGGCATTTAATACAACAGCTCTTGTTTCCAAAGCATCAGATTATAAATAGCTTAATTTTCGATTATCCATGTCAAAATGACAACAAATGGTTCTGGTATTTGATATTAGATTTTTTTATGATATATGTTTGTTTATGATGTTTAGATGTCCAGGAGCATGTCTGCTCCCTGATGCCTTCTCACAGGTTTCTTCTATTTCTCCTGTTAAAGTTGGAGAATTTTTCCTTATCAAAGCTGAGGAGCCCTGCATGGAGTTGGTGCCATATAGTAGGCTGGACAGGTTGGAAAAGCCCTTTAAGCCCTTTCAAAACATCAACAGCACACTGGAAGGAAAGATGAGGTTACTGTTGGGCAGTGAGTGCCACTTTAATAATGCAGATCCAATGCATGTGTTGCTCTGCTCACCCTTTCTGCCTGTTTGGCATCATGGACAGCTTCTGTGGTACATATTTGGTTGGCCTTTATTGTGTCCATCTGTCCTTATTGACCTCTATCTGTACAACAAGTATCCTAATAGTGAAAATAACACAGTTAAAAATGTCTTTATATAGCACTTTACAACAACACCTGGTTGACCAAACTGCTTCCTACAATAAACAGAAAAAAGCTAATTGACAACATCAAAACAGAAAGTAAACAATAAACTATGATGCAGTTGTTATAAATCTGTGAATTCTACAACGGGAGTGCGGTCAATGAAGCAGAATAGCATGATAGCAAAATGACAGAGGTAGAAACGGTTTGAACTAAAATGGATAGACACACACACCTGTTTGGTTAAGTCAGGGCAACTCCCTGAATTTGTGTATTAGTCTTTGTCAGGCAATTACTACATGCAAGTAAGTTTGTTGTGCATGTAAGATGTGTCTTATGTAAAGGGAGTAAAAAGACACAGAAGGAGAGATGCACATAAAGATAATCCAATTGTTTCATTTTCGCATGTGTAATTATGAGTTGCCTCATGCCCACACCCAAACCCTGTGTGTTTGTGTGTGTGTCTGACTGTGTGTATGGGTGTGGTGCGTCTGTAATCAAGCCAGCGTTAGACTTGCCACTGACGACTATAGGACTTCTCACATTTATGGTTTCTAATGGATTTAGAGTGTGATTTAAGTAGCTCTCTGACGTGCTCGGCTGTCTGTAGTTGTGCACACACACACACACACACACACACACACCAAGGCTGTGAGTTACTCATCAGGGCAGGACAAGGCACTATTGTATTGACCGTCTTCATGGCACTTTTAGTGACACAGTCATTCGCATTTCCCAGCAGCATATGTGTGTGAGTGTGTGGGTGGTCGTCTCATATTCCATGTAACACTGCCGTCTGCTACAGGCTAAAGATGCAACAGTGAACGTGTGATAGTGAGAAGTGTGGTTGGAGGGGCACAGAGGGCTGCATCTCAGTGAGCTGAAGTTAGATGCATGCTGTCTTTGTTTATCACGGACTTTAACC